GTGGCCACAAGGCTCTGTCACCAGACCCAGTTACAAGGCAGCAGTGGTCTCTCAGATTGGGTGTCCGCTCACTCTGGGTCACCTGTGCAACGGTAGGTAGCTAGATCCCTCCATATTGTACCCTCTGCTGTCCCTCACATGGCTGTGGGCTCTGCTGATACAGGCTGTCTCTCTCTAGATGGAGTTCCTGAACACGATTCTGTCACATCACTCTCCTGTCACACTCTGAGGAGAATCCTTTTTCTGGAACATCTGGTTGTCTCCTCCTTCTGATGATTGGTCCATTACTGCTGCTAGGAGAGAGGGGGAAGAGAGTCCACACTCACACAGTCCTCTCTTCTGGTTAAACTCTGTGCTGCTCACAGTTGGAGGGGGGCTCAGAGACCCAGCTACATCTATTTTTTGTTGAGCTGTATATGTGTTTATTAATGCTGGTTATAGTAGTTCTACTCTTGGTGTTGCTAAGCCTTGCAGCACACCTTCCATCGTGAGCTGAGCTTTAAAGCTGTCTATCTCTCCCCTTCAGACAGGCTTAACAAAGGGGGCAGAGTCCTTGAAACATGTTGCTGCCCATTGACCTCTGAACATTGTGAAGTGTCTGGTCTGTGTGAAGTGCATTAAGGGCTGGTTCACACCAGTTGCTGCATCTAAGATGAGCACAGTGAAGATGCACTGAGCTCTGCAGATCGCACTGTGTCCTTGTCTATACAGTGAGACTGTGCTGGAATACCTGCCCAATGCAGTCCCACCACATCTGGTGTGAATATACCCTGAGTGTGGCCCTGGATGCCGCTAGCAGTCTTGGCAGGTTCAGCGTTCTGCCTTCAGGCTTACCAATCCCAGAAAATTCTTCTGGCCATGTTGTTACACCTGCCTCTCTGCACCATGAGCCTCACATAGTCCTTCTCCATGTAAGTGATGCTGTGTTTTGTAAATAAACATGTTACCAGCTTCCTTATCCCTGTGCCCTTGCTACTTTGTGTCTTTTTCAAGTCCCCTTGTCAGAATACAAAGTCCCAACAGGGGGGATTCCCCAACCTTGTTAATGTGGATAAAGAAATCTATTAGTTTGTTAAGACTGCTAGCTGAAGAAAAAAAATGACTTTTCTTTGGTCATCTTAACTGATGAAAAACAATGGGGCCGATTTAGCAAAACTGGAGAGTGCAACATCTGGTGCACCTCTGCATAGAAACTAATCAGCTTCCAGGTTTTTTGTGACTTTAAGGACAGCTACCTACTCCCATGTCCACTCCACCTGCCTAGGCGATCAGACGTTCTGCTCCTTCCTCCCCCTGTATTCTTCTGGGTCCCAGAAGAGTGTGGTGCCATTCACATGCATAGTGGGCACCCAGCTGTGAAGCCACAAGCTGTCACAGCCAGGTGCCCACACTTAAGATGCCGGTGCCGGGGACAGAGGACAGAATTTTTTCTTACAGGAGACTGCAGCTCTGCTTTAACTGAACAAGCTGAAGTTAGAAGCTGATTGGTTACCATGAACAGCTGCACCAGATTTTGCACTCTCCAGTTTTAGTAAATCAACCCAATGGATTCTCTACAATCGCTAATGTCAAACATCAACAATTCACCAACCAGCCAGAAATGTTAAATCCAAAATATAAAGTTATTTGTTTTGACATGTGGTATGATAATGATTCATATGAAATGCAGTTTTCAATTATTATAATATGTCTGCTCTGCTTTATGGCTGATGACAATCATAAATATTACTTGTAACTTTCATTTTAAAAGATCATAAAGTATAGCTGCTTCTGGTTTATATAATACGTTGTGTACAGTTCATTTTTTAACCCACAGAGATCCAGTGAATGGGTGGTATAGATACTATCATTTTATCAGTTCCTCCTACATTCACAGAGCATGATGCATTGTGGGAGAATAGTAGTACAAACCTCCCAATGGCAAAGAAAGAAGAAGAGGGCGGGCGAGCGGCACGGCGCTTCACACTAGCAGCAGAAGATACTAACCCATGTAGCAAAGTAGGATAGCCACTGAGGATTTTTACAAGAAGCTGCAACCTGAAGGACATGGGATACACATTACATGTAACTGATGTGTTTGGTGCAGTATTACTACATTTCAGCTGTAACGGTAAAACAATACCTAACTCCTATTGCAAGGTTTCCTGATAACCTTTTATCTTGTTTTATTGTAGTAAGTAAATGGTGCTGCATTATCATTTGTTAGCTTTGCTATTTAAAGCATACATAGGTTCATTCCTCAATGCAGAAAATTTTCTTTTTAATTGTATTTCCAGATTTGCATACAAGAATGATGCATGTAATGAATACCAGAATGTGACACTCTGCCATCGGGAAGAATGCATGTTTATGACCTATGGAAAGCATTTTTAGACAGGAACTTCAGATATATGGCCATTCTTTTTCCCAGCAGATACATGTCATGTACTTTTTATCTGACAGTTTTAGATCATGTATACATTTAAATCCAGTGGGGACTCTGGAGCTCTTCCTTAACTGAACAAGCTAGAAGTTAGAAGCTGATTGGTTACCATGCACAGCTGCACCAGATTTTGCACTCTCCAGTTTTAGTAAATTAACCCAATGAATTCTCTACAATCTCTAATGTCAAACATCAACAATTCACCAACCAGCAAGAGACTTTAAATCCAAAATATAAAGTTATTTGATTTTTTTTGACATGTGGTGTGCTAATGATTCCTATGGAAACAGCTGAAAGTTTGCTGTATACACAACAAAGTGAAAAAATGTGCTAATGGGAAAAATTGTACAGAACATACTGTATACAGTATGCTTGTGTATATAATTCAAAAATCCACACATCATTACATTCTAAAATCTACTATGCACAAAGAAAATAATTGAGTTAAGAAAACAATTTGTTATATTATTTCCTTGGTGATTATTAGACTTTACTAATTGGCTAATGACAAGTCAACAAGTCAAGAGATGGAAAACTCATCCTGCCTTCTCAGTGAAAACATCTATATCTATGGATGCCAGATCCTCGTTGAGACCAGCAGGGACTAGACTACCTAGCATGAAACGCATCAGCCTTCAGGGATCCCAGTGAGGCCCCCCTAGGTCTGGAAGACTGTTGTATCTGGCCATGGATGAGTGGCTTGAAGTGTGCTTTTCACTTTTATGCTTGTAATTCTACTGATTTTATAATAAAGATCCTTAGGATAATGCACTAGATCAGTGTGCCTCTCTTGCTTGTTGTAGTTACTACAAGGTGTCCCAAGTACTAGAGAGCAGCAAGGCCTTGTGTGACCAACCACTTTTACACTGAACTAGAAATTATACACAGGAGATTTTGTTCTATATTGTTGGTTATTTGATGAAGGATACAGTTTATACCCCACGTTGCTTGTTCATAGCAATTCCAGTCATTTTCATCTGATCCATGCCATATCTTGTCTGACTTCTTTTTTAAAGGATTTTTCAAATTGTATTGTAGTTTACACTATGTTTTCTTCATATGCAGTCATAAAATTGTACAGCCTAAAGGCCAATTAAATATCAGATTGTGAGAAACAAAGATCACATTTCTAATGCATGTAATAGAAAAATAAACAGCACACCTCCAATGCCAAAAGCACGTTTTCTAAATACAAAGGACTTTAAGAATCTATAGAAAAAAGTTTGACCAAAAACAAAAAACCTACCTCAACCTGGCTTTCATACCTTGCGGAACAGCTGGATTCTCAAAATCTATCAAGACTGTACTCATGTAATGGGCTGGGGCACATTCTTGATGAATTCCAAGCTCACAGCTTTTTCAAAATGCAGTAATGATGGAAGTATTGAAAGCTAGAGCCAAGGTAAGTTTTTTAATAGTAAGGTTTTTTTTATTGTAGATCTTTTTAAAACTATTTGTATTTGTTTTAATAGTAGGTATTAGGAAGGCAGAATTCTGCCTTCCCATGACCTGGACCCAGAATAATAATGTGTGACCTCACGGAACACTTTAGTGTGGAAACTGATGGCAACAGCATCTTAAATCTTAATCCTGTTTTACTGAAGACTCTGCTGACTTTCACATTCAGTGCAGTGCTTATGACCTGGAACTAATGTGTGATGAGACCTGCTTCATAGCTCAGAGGTCATTTTTTGGCCTCTCAATGTCCTCCTACTGCCTACCTTCTTTATTAAAGTCAACTCAGATTAAAACTGAACTCCTGGATAAGGAGATATTGTTTAAATCCAAGAGGTACTGTATGTGTATTCTTCCTTGAATCTTGGTGTGCTTTGTGTATTTCTTCCAGATCTATGCAGTAATCCAATGTGAAACTTGACCTCTGTACAGGAGCTTCCTGTAGTAAAGACCGGCCACTCCTGCCCTGTCCTTGAGCAGGTTGACTGGTCTTGTCTACACACCCTTCTGTAGTTTTCTGCAGGGAACCTGTAGTGGGTGGGCGTGCTGGACCTCAACCACAGCTCTGCTTTCTGTGCAGACTATGTACAGCACCATGATGATATCACTGCTGCTTTTGCAAGATAATAACTGAGCTTGTAGAGGCATATCATAAACACAAAGCGGATTTACAGTTGTGCTCAAAAGTTTGCATACCCTGGCAGAAATTGTGAAATATTGGCATTGATATTGAAAATATAATCATGCCAAAAAAATTGTCTTTTATTTAACCACTAGCCTACAGGGCACGTATACCCCCTTCCTGCCCAGGCCAATTTCCAGCTTTCAGCTCTGTTGCACTTTGAATGACAATTGCGCGGTCATGCAACACTGTACCCATATGACATTTTTATCATTTTTTTGTGACAGGTAGAGATTTATTTTGGTGGTATTTAATCAACTCTGGGTTTGTTATTTTTTCTTAAACAAACCAAAACCACTGAAAATTTTGAAAAAAAAGTTTTTTCTTAGTTTTTGTTAATAAGTGATTTTTCTCCTTCACTGATGTGCGCTACTGAGGCGGCACTGATGGGCACTGACGAGGAGGCACTGGTAGGTGGCACTGATGGGCATTGGCAGGCATCACTGATGGGCACTGAAAGGCAGCACTCATATATGGCACTGATAGGCGGCACTGACTGGTACTGATAGGCGGCACTGACTGGCACTGATAGGCGGCACTGACTGGCACTGATAGGCGGCACTGACTGGCACTGATAGGTGGCACTGATTGGAGCCACTGATAGGTGGCACTGATTGCCATTGATAGGTGGCACTGATGGGTGACACTGAAAGGCAGCTCAGATGGGCACTGATATGTGGCATTAATGTGCACTGGTAGGCACTGAAATGTGGCATTGATGTGGCACTGATGGGCACAGGCAGGTGGCATGGATGAGCACTGACAGATGGCACTGATGGACACTGACAGGTGGCACTTCTGGGGCTACACAGATCCTCAGGGCACACTGATCATCAGAGCCCTGATAATCAGTGTACATGTCCCCTCTGAGGAATGCCGATTACCGGCTCTCCTCTCCTCTGGAGCTGTCAGTGTGACAGCTCGTGAGGAGAGAAATGCCGATAACTGGCATTTCCCTATTTACATGTGATCAGCTATGAATGGACACAGCTGATCACATGATCGAGCTGACATCTTCGGCTCTTTCCATTAATCGGTGATCCGCTGTGTCCGCCGATCGCCGTGCTGCGCACTCCTGGAGCCGCGCATGTGCGGTTAGAATGGGAGGACGTCATATGCTGACCTCCCAGAACGAGAGAACCGCCTTGCGTCTGTCATTTTACTATATGGCGGGCGGGAGGCGGTTAAGGATAATGATCACTTTAAGCCATTTATTATCACATATTGTGACTTTATAAATCATTCCTAGATTGTAAGCTGGGCCCTTGACCCCTCGTGTTTTGTTTTGTTACTGTATTGTCTCATGTTCTGTCCCACACTATAATGTACAGCGCTGAGCAAACCTTTTAGCGCTATATAAATACTGTATAATAATAATAATGATAACAGAAAATACCCAAATGGCTCTGATCAAAATTTTACATACCTGGAATATTTGGTCTTGGTACAGACACACAAGCTGTCACATACGGGTTAACCGCTTCCAGTCCACCCTATAGCAGAAATACTGCTACAGGGCGGCACGGGTTCACAAACTCACTTATATATACGTGATTTTGCAGTTCCGGATAGGGTGCACGCACGAACCGTGCGCGCGCACCCTACCCACGCAGCCATTCATGGCTGTCAATCACCGGGGTGATTTCCGACGGGGAGGAAGACTATTTTGTTTACTAACAGTCCTCCTCCCTGTCGGCTCAGCTACACTGCTCTGGATGGCTTTGCACAGTACAGCCCTCCAGAGCAGTGTGCTTACAGTGAAGCACCAACAGACCGCACCCTAGTAAAACACTCCCTGCACATAGTTAACTCTTTGATCGCCCCTCATGTTAACCCCTTCCTGCCCAGTGCCATTAGTACAGTGTCAGTGCTTTTTTTTAGCACTGATCACTGTATTGGTGTCACTGGGGATGTCAGTGACACCAAGTCAGTTCCCCCCAGTGTCCACCGCAGTCCCGCTATAAGTCGCTTATTGCCGCCATTACTAGTTGAAAAAAAAATTCCAATACTGCCATTTGTAAATGCTATAACTTTGACGTAAACCAATTAATTTACACATATTGTGATTTTTTTTTTTTAGCAAAGACATGTCGCAGAATACATTTTGGCCTAAATTTATGATGAAATTTGATTTTTAACTGTTTTTTACTGGACGTGTAATAGCAAAAAGTCAAAAATATAGTTTTTTTCTCAAAATTGTCAGCAATTTTTTTTGTATAACACAAAAAAAAAAAAAACGCACAGGTGATAAAATATCACCAGAAAAAAGCACAATCTGTGGGGAAAATAGGACGTAAATTTAATTTGGGTGCAGAGTTGCATGACCGCGCAATTGTCAGTTAAAGTAAAGCAAAAAAATGGCCTGGTCAGGAAGGGGGGTAAATCCTCAGGAGGGCAAGTGGTTACAATGTCAACTAAAGGGTAATTTCCCACATTTGTGGCTTCTTAAATGCAATAAGTGTCTGTGTTTAAATGGTCAATTAGTTTCTTAGCTCTCATGTGGATGCACTGAGCAGGCTAGATACTTAGCCATGGGGATCAGAAAAGAACTGTAAAAAGACCTGCATAACTAGGCAAGATGGAAAAGGATATAAGAATATGAACAAAACTTTGAATATGCAAGTCAGGTCGATAAATCACTTATTAAGTAGAAAATTGGGGGATCTCTTGATACCAAGCCAAGGACAGACAGACCAAGAAAGACTGCAGCCTCAATTGCCAAAATAATTATTTGGGATACAAAGAAAAACCCACAGGTAACCTCAGGAAAAATACAGGCTGCTGTGAAAAAAGACAGTGGTGGTTGTTTTTTTAATGTGTTACTAAACCTACAACAGTAAAATCAGTCTGTATCAGGGGCGGACTGACCATTTGGAAACTTGGGCACTGACCGAGGGCCCGGGGTCAGTAGGGGGCCCCATGAGATACCCCTGGTACCTTTTTCATAGGCTTTTTTGAGTTTGGGCAAGGACACAGGGGCCCCATGATCCCCTATTGCCCGGGGGCCCCATGAGTTGTCAGTCCGCCCCTGGTCTGTATATGCACTCACTGTGGAATGTAAGGGGTTAATCCTCTGTATTGTGTAAAAACGCTGTTCCCCTAATTTAAGCTGGCCATACACAGGTAGATTTTCAGCTAAGAATATTTGTAAGAAAAGTTGTATGAAAATTCTTTGCACATTTGATGATAGGACGAATCTCATTTGAAAATTGTACTTTGCTTTTAACATTCGATTTTAAAATGAATGTAATTTCTGAACGAGAACCACATACACTGGCCAAATATTTGTTTGAAAATTAGTTTTTCTTCCTGCCCCTTCGAATTTGACCCCACTAATGATTAGAAAATCAAAAGAATATTCCTGAAATGAAAATTCTCAAAGGAAAATCTATATATGTATGGCCATCTTAACGATTATAAAATCAAAAAATATTTCTTGAAAGAAATATTCTCAGCTGAAAATCTACATGTGTATGGCCAGCCTTAAGCTGAATATGGGTGTAACATGTTACGAAACTTATCCTCTAATTCTGATTTAAAATTCAGATTTAAACTTTACATTTCCTTTTTTGTTCTGCTATTATATTTTATATGATATACAGCATATATTTTCACAGTGTAATTCAGACTGTTTTGTATATTTTTTTGCCACTTCTGACAGAATAATATGTTAGCAATTCCATATGTATATGCATGTTTAAAGCGGTTTTTCAGTCTGAAAAAAATTAAAAGTCAGCAGCTGCAAGTACTGTATCTGCTGACTTTTAATAAAAGAAAGGACACTCACCTGTCCAGGGATCCAGCAGTTCTTTACTGGTCTTTGGGTTCCTGGCACTGACATCTTTAATGTGAGAAACCAGCTGTGTATTCACAGCCAGCTTCCCATTGTGCATGCACCAGCCACACTGCACTTTGTGAATTGTCCTGCAACCTTCTGGGTCCTGTGATCCCAAGAGGCTGTAGGCAGGGAGAAAGGAGGGTGAACTTCCGCTTGGATCACCTAGGTGATCTAGGAGGAAGTGGGAGAGGGTATGCCAAAACCAGGTACCTGCTCCCCCCAAAAAATATATTGTGCCAAAAGTAGAGGAGGAGGGGGAGGAGGCAGAAAAGCTGAACTTCCCTTTTTAGGTGAAGTTCCATTTTAACCACTTGCTGACCGCGCTATAGCCGAATGAAGGCTACATCCGTTCCGCCTATCATTGACACCTATCAGTACCCATCAATGCGGCATATCAGTGCAGCCTCATCAGTGCCTCAGCATCAATGCCCACCAGTGCCGCATCATCAGTGCCGCCTATCACTGCCCATCAGTGCTGCCTATCAGTGCCACCACATCAGTGCCCATCAGTGCTGCCTATCAGTGCCCATCAGTGCAGCCTCATCAATGCACATCAGTGAAGGAGAAAAATTACCTGTTTGCAAAATTTTATCATAGCAACTAAGAAACACTTTTTTATTTTTAAATTTTTGGTATTTTTTGTTTGTTTAGCAAAACATAAAACACCCAGTGGTGATTAAATACCACATAAAGAAAGCTCTATTTGTGTGAAAACAATTATAAAAATTTCATATGGGTACAATGTTGTCCAACCACGAAATTGTCATTCAAAGTGTGACAGCACTGAAAGCTGAAAATTGGCCTGGGCAGGAAGGGGGTAAACGTGCCCAGTAGGCAAGTGGTTAAAGAAACAGTGTGGAATATCCAAATAATGTATTTGCAACAAAAAAAAGACACACACATACATCATATATAGATACATTTATTACTTCAGGGTGAGAATTAGAAACAATGTAGATGCGATTATTAGAAAACAGCTTGATAGAAAATTTTAGCATATGGATGTTTTGAGAAACTAACTATAAAACTTTCATCACAGCATCACCTTTTTATTGTTAAAATGAAATGAACAAGTCAGGAACAAACAGGCAACAGTAAAACAAACAACAGAGTGTCTAACCCCATGTTCCCAATGTGAAGATTTCACATCACTTCCTATCTTTGTGGCACCCTTCACCAGTACAGAAAATGAGTGCAAATCTCCCCAGTAAAGATACAGACAGCAATAAAAACCTGACTCTTTTTCAAGAAGTTATCCAAATCTAAAAAAAAAAAAGGTTGTCATTTCTGTCAAAGCAGGATATTTGGATGTCATTTGTGTCAAAGCAACTGTTTCACCGTTTGAATACATATACTGCTAATTATTTTACTTGGAATTCTGTACAGCCAGGTCCTTGACCTCCATGACCTCCATTGGGCTATACAGATGTCACTACCCTCCAATTGGGCGGCTATACTAGCCATGTCAAAGCTGTACACTGCCAGTTTTGTAGTTGCAATGCCTGTGGCTAGTCAACAGAGAAGAGAAGCAGCAGGAAGTTATTTACTATGCTCTTCCCTCTTCTAAGTATATTCAGTAGGCTAGAAGTGTGCAATAGAGTCTGATTGCCACAGAGTGCTGACTGACTTTTTACCAGGCTGTGGGCCACTGTGCAAGGGATTGAAGAAGATTGAATCATTATAGTCAAGAAAACCACCAGCTGAGGAACCTTCAGAATCCAACTCTTTCAGGAGTGTTGGATTTCTGTCCCCTGTTGCCCACTGTGGTCTTCCCCATTGACTTATACAGTAGGTCATTACAGGCCGTAATTAGCTCTGGTGGGTCAAACTACTGAACAAAGCAGGGCACCAAAAATCTAACACTTCTTAAGCTGAAGGTTTCACTTGTTCACAGGAGATTAGCAGTGCAAGCAACAGGAGATGTAAGTACTAAATGTATTCATTGCAGAGAACAGTCATTTTATACATTAATTTTAGTGACATATAGGGGTTTATTTACTAAAGCTGGAGAGTCCAAAATCAGATTCCCTTCTGCATAGAAACCAATCAGCTTCCAGGTTTCATTGCCAAAGCTTCATTGAACAAGCTGAGGTTAGAAGCTGATTGGTTTCTATGCAGAAGGGAGTCTGATTTTGGACTCTCCAGCTTTAGTAAATAAACCCCATAGAGTCACATTAATAATTAATAATAATTTAGAGTCACATTAATAATTAATATGAGT